ATCTATTTTACCAGTTGCTCTGAGGAGTATTCAGGTGACTAAGGAGCAACCTAAGAATTAGCTTCCCACCCTACCCCTAAACTCCTGTTTTAAGCATTGTTTGCAAATGCCCATGCACTCATGGAAACTAATGCTTTAGAAATCACCAAGCAGATCATTTGTTGGAAGAGAAGACAGTTGTTCTTCACATACAGCAGCTGATATCAACAGGACAGCTAATAAAAATACACTCATTATACCATCACAAACTGGTAGCTAGTAAATGTCACTGGCATTTGTGTATAATCACATTGGCTATAATATGTTATTGGCACAAGACCATTCTCAAAGTTTGGGAAGTTCACAAAGGAATTAGCAAATCCAACTCTTTCGGATTCTTTTTTGGCACTGGAGTTGTATCTATTTCTGCTGGAGATACAGCCTTTGTTACTCCCAGGCCCTAAGTTATACATGCACAATCACTCTGAAATAATGATTACCAATAGATGTAGTTGAAATTTCCTAGTTTTAGTGTCCTTTTCAGGTACAGTTGTTTCTCCTTTTCTCCAATGCTAAGAGATTTTCTTTCATAGCTGTATTAGCAAATGTGGAACAATGCCTGTCCTGCGCAGGATTGCATTTCCATCATTGTAGTGATTACATGAACGGGGATCACAAGTTGTCAGGCTTTCAGAGTTAAGCTTTTAGTTTCTGGCTTGTACCCACATGTTCCAAAATGGTACAATATTTTTAGAACCCTGAAGCCAAACCAGAAAGAAGACACTGATGAAGAATACCAAATTCATTCAACATCTTCCACTGGGAAGCAAATGAAGTCATTCCTCAACTGATAATTTGCCTGTAGAAGATTACTCCTTTATGCATTAAACAGGGGAGGAGCAGAAATATCCTTCTGCCTGTCCTCACAGAAGTGGTGCTTCTCCAGATCAAGAAAAGCAGAACTCCTTTTTCTCTACCTCATCTCCTCTCCTTTCCCCACCCATTAATTTTATTCTCTTACGTGTCTTGAATAATTTAGGAATAACTGAGTCCATTAACAGTTTTAGTGGTCCTTCCAGGAGGATAGAGGAAGGGGGGAAGGAAGCGTTCTAGTCTTCCACTTAAAACACTAGCTGTTGTACCATTATGTGAAAGTGAGGTTTAATACAGCTAAAAGGAAAAAAACTATACCTCTCTTCCAAATCTGCTTCTTGAAGACATATACGCACCAAAAATGTTAAGGTGTTAGGTGCTTGTGTTCACAAGCAGGAACAGCTGACAAAAAATAATGCAACTTTATGTACAATACATTGTGATAGATTCTTGACACACCGTTTCTGTGTTAGTTACCACATCACGTAGCTCTTGCAAGGAAGACAAAAAGAAATGAAGTATTTTTTAAAAGTGTAGTTTCCTGTTACTTGCAAATTTCATGTCATTTTAACAACGACACCTTCCCTCTCAAAAAGCTACCTAAACAGAAATTTTAAAGGCAAAAAATCCACCTTAGCTGTGATTTTTCAATTGGATTGTATAAAATAATCCACATAGAAAGCATCCTTTTCAATTAAAAGCTGTGAAGCATTTACATTGATAGTGCTACAGCTTTGCTTTATCATTGAAATAGACTTCATAAGAAATCTGTCTATAACAAGCTGTTTCAGATTCAGCTATCCAGTCAGCAGCCAAGCGCTAACAGAACATCGCAGCTTCTGAACCTCAGACCATTCTCAGCACCCAGAAACAGTTGTCGTGCCTGTGAAGATGGCAGCTCTGGTCCAAACACACTATTTTGACTTCAGCCTCACATTGTTAACACGGACATTGACAATTAAATTAAGACACATTTTCCCTTCTGCAAAGAGCTCTATTTGTGTGGCTACCAACCCATCAACTTCAGTCATTTACAGTTACTCTTCAATCTAATTGTAGCTGTCCAACATCTGATAGATGCACTCTGGCCAAGCATTCAAGGATATACACCCTACTGCTCAACAGCATCTTTTCTTGTTTCTGTTTAACAGGATTCTTTCAACCTTGTCAGCAACTGTGTATTCAAATGGGATTCTAACCATCTCCAACTGAAAATGTTTGCTTTGGCTGGTAACAGGTGCCTGTACAAACAAAATTAAAAGCATTAGCTGCTCTCATGTTATATTCTCATCCTTCACCTAGTGTGTGTGATCCCTTGCCTCTTGGTCCATATCCATGTCATTTTCCTGTCTTCCTTGGAGATCTTCATGTTGTATGCTACAATATGTTAGGGCACAAATCACAAGTAGCTGGGAAAAACTAGGGCAGTGAATACTAAATATATGTCCCCAAAATGGAGACATCCAGTGGTTTAACATCTTTCAGCTGCAAGTATGAGAGCTCTTGCCTTTGCCTTAAAACCTCTAATCACAAGAATACTTCCAAATATTATCTGGTGATGCTCTCCCAGCAAAACTGCTCCCTTCTCCAGGTACATCTGTAGTCTTAATTTTGTTCTTCTGTAGAATAAAGAAAAATTATGTCATCTATAATAACTAATGAGATAATTTTGCCATCTCTTTTTTTTTTTCTCTTCTAGCCTTCCTTTAAAAGTCCTGGAGTTTGAACTAGATCAAGATGCCACTATGCTACGTGGATATCTGCTGCTTCTTCAAAGAACTCATGACACCAAGTCATAGCACACCTTTATTGGGGTCTGCTATTTTGTCTGCACAATTGCATTATTTCACTTACTGCAATATCCTGACTTCCCTTTCCTAAACAGTTTGACTGCCGTTCAAAAGCAGCAAGGGGATTGTAAGTTGTATGGCATTAACTAGTTACCTTCTGTTGGAAGACATCTGTGATACATGTTGCCCAAACTGTAAGTATTCTCAGGCCCCCCCAAAAAGTCTGTTTTCCCTGCACGCAAGGAATCCACAACAAAAATTTACTGCTGTCTAACTTGGGCTTGCAGTTGCTAGAAACACTTACTTGTTACTTGAGCAGAAATGTTTTCTTGTTTGAACAATGAATAAACATCAAGTTCATCAACAAGAGTTTTTCTGGTAGAATTTAATAAAAGAGTATAAGAAAAAATTAGTCTCTAGATATACAATAGCAAGATTTTAAAATGTCTTACATATATAATGTTGGAAGAAGGGTGAAAGAGAAAGTTTTGCTAAACGATGTTGCCAGCTAGTAACAGAAAATCTCATTGAAGGGTTTCACAGTACTATAGTGTCTGTAGACTTTCAGTTAATTATCAAGCAAGTTCAATTACACAGACAAGAAACCCTAAAATTCAAGCAAGTTGTTTTTAGTTTTAATCTCTGTTACATAAGATGATATTTGCCTTCAGGAGTTCACACAAAAGGGCAACGTACTTTTAACATATAAGACTAAGGAACATACAGTAGTATAGTTTTGTAGTAAAAACCAAAGGAAACAACAAACAACCATGGTTATTTGAACTTTTCACCAAACCAGAATAATTGGACTACACCGATTTGGTTGAAATAGTGGAATGTCATATAGACTTGTATTACCACAGGTGGAGATTAAATTAGTCTTATGAAATAACTTTGGTCACCTTGGCAGAGAATACAAAGGTTTGAGAAAAAACATGTAACTCCCTCCCACCCAAAGTACAAACAAGGAGATTCCTTTCACAGTGCAACCTCTCTGTGTCAGTTACAGATCGCATATTGTATAGGAATGCTTGAAACATGGACTTCAAATATCACAATGAACACAGACGCTAGAATCCTGGGAGTGAGTTACAATTTTCAAGTCTGTCCCTTAAGACAGTGAAATCTAGAATGTGAGCCCCAGTTAGAAACTAGAAAAAAGCCCACCTCTTCTATCTTACCATTTTCAAGTGAAGGATGAAGCGTTGTTTTGCAATCAGACCCTGAAACAGATCTTTTGAACTACCTTCTGGGTTCCCCCCGCCCTTGGAATTAGCCCTTAATTGGAGGCAAGAACAAGGAAGAGAAGGAAGTGGCAATACATGTTGACAGAGGACTAAGATATAGGAGAGAAAATAGGAGAGAACAGCAGTGAACAAATGTTCATCAGCTCTCTCTATGAATTTTTATTTACTAAAATGTTCCTTGAAGGGTTTCAGCATTAAGTTAACACTGTTATTTGTGATCAGTAATTGACTCTGTACTAGAAAAGTAATGAGACCTCTTTGAGATTATTGCACAAAAACCTGGCAGCAAACCATTAATAAGCCCTTGAAATGCACATATAGATCAGTTTCGGAAACCGAGTTACAGAATGTCTCTAAAGTATAACTATATTGTTAAAGAATAGAAACTACAATTACTTTTATTTAAATCAAGTCCAGCAAGAAAATATTTTAATATGGCAAATACCCTAGCACTGGCTGCATGCATCCATAATCTAGCTATTTCATCATGAGTGTGTGATCGTATTTCCACCCCTCTCCCCAAAATGTATAACCTTGACAAGAAATGCAAAATAGATAAAATATAACATGAAGCATGTTCTTTTAATATATATTCCATTTTGGTATTTAATGCTTAATCTATAAATAGACACTCTCAGACACAAGAATGCTTTGTAAGTGTGTTATTGTGCTGTTTTAAGATTAAAATATTTTACATGGATAAGTCCAAAGCCATTCATTCTTTAGTCATACTTCCAGTGAAAAAAAATTTCTTCTATTTCATTAAGTATCAAAACTGGAATTTGCATTTTATCACTAAGTGACTATATGCTGATGACTACTTTAAGTTATCTCTAGTTCACAAAAAGTATTGCTTATCTGAGTGCTAGGTAAATACTATATACAGGTACTGAAAGAGTAGATGAGAAACATCATGTAGTGCTACTGTTAAGAAAAGTTTTTAAGTAGTACAAAAATTTCCAATAATTTATGTCCTGATTTTTTTTTTGTGTGCTACCAGGAAAAAATTAAAGGAGATTTAAAAAAAAAAAAAAAAATTAAAAAAAAAAAAAAAAAAAAAATCAAAAAACTTATCCCAACTACTCTCAGCTGAAGGAACAAAACCATCTATTTTTTAACCAGAAACAGTATTGCATATAATTAGAGATTTTCTACTAATTACAAATTTAATTTAACAAAGTAATATGGAGGCAGCATGTGGTAGATTTATATTCATACAATCTGTTAAAGTAATACACAATTGAAAATTAATGATCTAAAATTCTTAGATTGCTTTAAATCTGTAATTTCAACATAGTGCTACATATTGTTCAGTCTTGAAGGCTAAAATCAAGAATTTTTGATTCTCATTCTAACATAAGCAAAGCTCATCTGCACCTTCTCTTAAACCTTTTTAGCAGCATAGTCAGCTTTATAAAGAGAAAAAGGCAAAATATTACCATAATTTACATACTCTAATAATCTTTCCAAGGCATCAAAGGACCCAGCTTGAAATTCCTATAACAATTGACAAAAATATATTAACATATACTTGCATTTACACTTTCAAAAATCTGTAGTTAGTATTAAGTTGGCCTATGAAGCAGTAGTAAAGTGCAAAATATTTGGTATAATATCTAGTGATCAGCTTTTGCTTCTGTGGAATACAAATGAGTAAGCCTGGCTCTTCCATTGACAGATATGGTGTTTGATGGAGGACCAACCTGGAGACGGGGGGGAGGGGGGTGGATAAAAAAGAGAAAAAAAAAGAGAAAAGAAATATTAACCTATTTTTCAGATTCTGCTCTCTGTAGTATGTTACACAGTGTTACTTCAATGAAACAGAAATACTGTTACTTCAGATAGCGTTTTTCTTATTGCAATGGAAGACCTCATATGATTTCTGAACAAAGCACATATGCTACAGAAGTGGAAATGTAAGAAATTACTTAAAAACATATTTTATCCTGTCTAAAAATTCCATGTGTAACTATTCAAAACATGCATAATTTTTAGTCCTTCTCCAGACTTGATTGCAAAGAAAGACTTTAAAAAACATCACTAAACCAAACACTTCTTATTAAATATTGAATAGAGCTGATTTCTTACAAGATCTTCTAACACTCCTTTATACCATGATAATGTTTCTTTTATCAGGAGCAAACTATAACTTTTAGGATAGATAGCAAAGACCTGATTTTCAGGGGAGATGCATAAACCAACAACTCCAATTGGAGTTAATGGGAGCTGTGGATGCTCTGAAGAGAAAAAATGGTTAAAGAGAAACCTCACTTGACCCATTTTAGGTTAGTAGTTACTGAGGGCCCTTTTGAACAGAAAAGACCAGCAACACAAAAGGCCACAGATCTCAGCATTGCATACTCACAACGCATTAAGTAAAACGGGAAAAAATAAAGAATTTGGTTAGTGGTGCCAGCATTTTATTTTTTTAATGATTCTCTCACATAGCTGAAAGAAGGGAGAGTATGGTAAGAGGTAAAAAGAGAAGCAAGCACCTGACAGACCTCTTTCACAATTCAAATGGATCAGGTTATTACTCAGTTTACTAAATGCAGCATGGAAGCTATGAGGTGAATGCATTTAAAAAGTACTTTCAACACTGGAAATCACTTTTGGGTGCTAATAAGTTATTGATACAAAATGCTTAATTTCTCTGCCCTACTATTGCCAGTTCTCAGTGTTAAACATAAAATGAGATCCATGTTTTTAATAAATTTACCATAGGCCAAAAAACCTCTCTTTTCTGCTGTCAGACATACCTGTACCACAGCATATGTGCTCTGGGTAAGAGTGAAGAGAACAGCATGTATAATTTTATGTTTGGCAAAATTTCAGTGGGTTCTTCATTGCCTTTTTTGTTTGTGTGTTTCAGCAGGTTTTTTTGAAGCCTGTTTCAGGTTTCTGTGTTGCAGAATGCTTTTCTTTATGCTTACAGCATCTTCATTACTGTAATTTCTTCTTAAAAAGTATAGCACTCTCCTCATCCCCAGTCTTAACAGATACTATACTGAGAAAGAACATCTCCCGCCCACAAGAGAGAAAGGGAGGGGAAAAAGGACTTCAGTCATCATCTCCCTCTTCTTCCCCATGCCATTCTTGTACCTAGATTGATATATGGGTCAAATCTACCCTAAGAACATTTCTATTGGAAAAGAATAAATAAACACATAATGAAGTTTTTCTTTGTGTTCTTTCTAGTAGAAATAGACTTCCTGAATTTTGAAAAGCATATTATGAGCTTTATTTTTTAAAACAACTACAAGCTACTGTGCCAACAGCCATGCCTATGCATATTTCCCATAAAAATAAAAAACCAAAGTTCACACACTATGCAAAATAAATAAAGTTCAGTATTATTCAGAATGTAATTATGCATTGGAGAAAAAACCCAACACCTTAATAAAAAAAATCCAAACAATATTTCTGGTAGAACAAATAGATTTGACCTCTAAGTGACTCTGAGCAATACAGCATTTTCTTAATCTTATCCTGTTTTTGAAGTGGCTGTGGTTAGTGACGTGTAGTTAGAAGTAATAATACAGTGTATTATGTACCACTGTTACTGACTAGAGGTCAAAACCTACTTGAGCATGCTTGTAAACTTTCTGGGAAATGGAATCTTCCTATTCAGTGTAGAAATGATGGGAGGTCTACAAGCCTCAAAGAGGCTGTTGCGGTGCTACATTGAAACAAAACCTTAGGTATGAAATCGATTGTTCTAATATTTGACCATCCACTGAGAAATTTTGACCCTAGGGAATCATTTTCATAAAACCAAAAAAACCCCTCACATCCACCCACCACACATCATTTGTTTCTTTCAAGTGGGAAAGGGATGGAAAACAAAAACTACTGAATTTCTTTAACCTTCTGCAATGAGAAATTATTCCTCAATAGAGAATGCAAAATACTAATGCTGGGTCAAGAAAGCTTTGTGTGAGATTATCGTTAAATGGTCTGGTTACAAATTTAAACCAATACGGATTTTTGAAGTGTGCAATGTTTTATCCAGTGAGAGAAATATAGGTGAATTTTAGGAGAGAGAAAAGAAAAATTAAGCCAGTTTTAACCTGAGGGGGGTAGGGGAAGATGGTCCTACCAGGACTGTTGACAAAACATTGAGAAATATCTTACTAATGATACCAAACAGCAGCAGGAGGCTTGAAGTACATTTAAGACTTAAGGACCTGAGAGAGTCTAATAAGTAGAAAAATACCATCTTCAGAACTTCTGTGTGTTATCTGCCTGCAAAAGATTGCAGCTACTTCAGGTCTAAGGTGAAGCTGCTTAGCATGTATCTAAAACCATACCACTTCAAACCATATAATACAAGCAAATAATTGAATATGTTCCTGATTTTATGAAAGAGATACTTAATTGATAACTTAAGAGATTTATAATTCATTTTAGGAAGATTTCCAATTGGATTTGTACTGTTTGAAAATATGGACATATGAAGCTTTGCGTGTGCATTCACCAGTTTGTTCTGCAAAACTGAACTCTCTTCCCCACCTCCCTTCCCATTGTTAAGAGATGTCCTGGCAGCACTTTGTGCCAAAGCTAGCTACTTTTAGTGTCAGGCATTAATATGGTAATTTTGAAGGAAGTACCACGAGTTTATTGTTATGGATGCAATGATGAAAACTCACCCTTTTCAATTTGGCAGCAGCTTCTCCAGAGCGGATTGCAGCCAGCAAGCTCTGGTGGATCTGTTCTGGGTCAGAGCACTGGAACGTCATCGTGGTTTGTCTCTTAGTGACAGGGGGTGGGTGGTCAGTGGAAGCACCTGACTGCGCCTGACTCTTCTGCTCAGTATTCACATTGCTGCCTTTCTATAAAGGAAGGAAGTGGGAGGAAAAGCAAAACAAAAACCTTTAATCTGAGTTAGTCATAAATGGAAAACTAAGTCAACCTGGCACAAGATTGCATATCAAACTGCCACCGTTCTAGTGTTTGCTTCCTTTAAGATTTCAGAGATCAGCGACATTTCCACTATAGCACAGTTTCTTCCTCAGATAATTATGCCAGCAAAATTTTATACCCCCATTCAAGTTGTGTTTGTGCCATGATCACTTGAAGCCAAACTGATTACACTACTCAATTAAATTTAAGAAATCAACATACAGAACCATGAACAACAAATCATAACCGCTCTGAACATAAAAATAGGTATACATAGTATAAATTATTCTATTTAATTTACCGTTCTTCGAAGTAGGGGATGCTAATTAGGCAAGAAATAATAATTTCAAATAATCTGAATGAGGTTTTTACTTTAACGTTCCCTGTATTCCTGTATTTCATTATGATGCTGTGCTGCTGCTAGACACCACAAGGTGTTTACACTGTATGAATAGAGCACTTCCTGGTCAGGGAGCAGTTCAGAGACTAGCCTCTAGATAGTTACCTTATTCATTAGACTATTTTGTGACCCCCCTGTTATGGTCTGTAAGGAAGGATTTTTCACTTGAGGCACGGAGGTAGGTGAGGAGGATTCAGCTGCTGAAGCAGCAGAGGAGACTTCACCAGGAAATTCCTCTTTCGGTGCCTGGCTAGTGATTGTACGCATCTTATTGAATGATTGTGACCTTTTGACTGCGGATGAGACAGCAAGAGCAAAAGGGGATGGTCTCGAACTGGAGTACGGCTTTGGAACTGCAAAAGTTCTTAGAGTTCTTAGGTTCAATGGTGCTGGTGGACAGGAGGGAAAACTTGGAGGTTTATTGCTTTTAACAGCAGAAGTGGAAGATTCAATTTTTTTTCCATCATCAACTTTTTCTTCATCTGCTGGAGGAGGAGAAGTACTTGTTTTATGTAAAGACAAAGAAGTTGGATCAGGTGATGAGATTTTTTTTCCCACCTCTGTATTCTTAGCTTCATTTTGAATGGAATTAGGAGCACAAACTGTACTTCTGGCAATTGCAGATGTCACATAATGACCTGAAGCTCTTCGTTGCATCTGCAGATAAAAAGAACTAGGCTTTGTTGTAGGACTTAATGCACTTGACTTGTCCTGAGTCTCAGAAGAAGGATTTGTATTATCCAAGCTTAGCATCAGTGGGACACGCTGTTTGGAAGACTGTGTTTCCGTCCAATTGCTCTCAGAAATAATCTCAGCTCCAGACGTCACAACACGTTCAGAAATGCTGTTCAGTCTGTGCAGCACATCATTTGCTGCTGCAGGTTCATTTTGTGAACCAGCCTGTGAATGACCCACACTTTTTGGAAGATGAGGAATTTCAGCTTTCACTATGAATTCTTTGGGGTCTTCATGCTTCAGAGAGTTTTCCAAAGTAGATATCTCTTGATCCTTATAATCCGATGGAATTTCTGATTCCCAGCTCTTCATTATTTCTAAGGATTTTGGAGGCACTATTTTATAAGTAGTCATTCCAATTTTTGGTATGTAATCCCTTGTAATTTCATTAGCGGGCTTGGGTTTAGGTTTGGTGTCCTGTCTATACAGAGCATGACATTTTACAGGAGAACCATCAGGAGTTTTTGCAGTTGTTTCTGGTGAAGCAAGATTACTGCCATTTAAACAAACGTGACTCTGATCTTTCATGGGAATTACTTTTTCATGGGTAACTTCTTGTCTCTCAAGATTTTGTTCTGTAGAAGTATCTTCATCCTCTCGTATTCCATCCATCACTTGAAGAAGGGGATTGTTTATATCTGTGTTGTGCTGAGGGACCAGTCCTCTAAATGTGGATGATTCACAACCCTGAGGTACAACAATTTCTTTCTGTGTAGTCCTTTCCAAATTGCTATCCAATGGACCTGTCTGGATTGCAACATCCTGAGTTTTTACTGTGTCCAAGCTGGTTTGATTTGTTTTCTGATCTTGCTTTTCTGGAATCAGTTGAGGATAATTCCTATGACTTACAGAGATGTCATATTCACATGCCTGGCAGTTTGATAGTCTGTCAACTTCAAGCTTGTTATTTTCTCTAAAATCTTCTGTTTTAATTTCAGCTGTCTGAAGTTCTTTCCCTTCTTCTGTTGTTGGAAGGAGTTTTGTATCACTGTGATCTTTAAGTTAAAGAGATATTCCAGAATTAATGCAAATGCCAAGAAGATTCAACCATCCCCCTTACATCATGAAGGCCCGCATCTGAGTATTTAACTACAAGGACTGGCTCTTCACTGGTATTGAAATTTTCCTTAACACTTACTTTTAAAGGCTATTTAAAGATATACTTATCTTTGACTAATATTGCTAAATAATAGTATTCTAACTCAGGTATTCTTCCTTAATTAACAGACTACTGGTGCCATGCATCAACGTAATAGAAAAATCTATTCTAGGATCATTTGACAAGTGCTAATGAATTTCAGTTGATTATATAGACATCAGTGACTCAAGAGCTCAGTGACTATTCAATATTAAGTTAGATGCAATTTTTATTTAGTTCCACACTTTTGTGGCTTCTGTGCTTTAGTTTTAACATTACAGATGTTATTTGTCAACTACAGCTTATGTATTTGTACAAGGGAACAACTGGAAAACATATTGACAAAAGCAATTTTCCAACTGTATTTTTCCAACTGTTTAGCAGGTCTGATAATTCAGTTTTCTATCCCCACACTAAACACGTAGTCATCTCCAAAACACAGGAATATTTGGGTCAAATTGTTTTAAATACAATATTGGGAAAAATTAAATCCTTTAGGAATAATCATTTGGGGTGGTATTTTGCAAAAAACCAAAATTTTAAGGATCTTACAAAATAGCAGTTAAGACTTATATCACATATAAACAGGACTCATGCAGTATGTTGTTATGATTTATAAACAGAGGTGTGCTGAATATAAAAGACTATGGAAGGCCTAATATATAAATCTGAAAATCAGTGTCATGAAAGGGTAAAATAAATCAGTCAGGTCACTAAATCCACAGAAAAATTTATGATCCATTAGATGCACAGGATGTCATAATTTCTTTTCATATCAGCATGTCACTTCGTTCTATTTGTGTTTAAAAAAATTTGCGTTTTCATGCAGAAAACTCATGCTAATTTCATAAGCAAAGAACAACTGATGGCCTCTCCTTCCCCGCTGTGGTGCACTGCCCATGTCACACCATGTGGCAGGATAACTTCTGCGTCCAGCCTTCCCTCTCCTCAGCGCTGCTCCACCCATACTGCCCTACAACAGCAGGATGCAGCTTTGACTACTGCTATAATAAAAAAAATATTAAAAATAAAACACCAAAACCCCAAAACTGCAGTCAATTCTTGTCACCTCATCTCAAAGAGGATACACCAGAGCTAGAGAAAGTATAAAGAAAATAATCTGATGATAGCAATTCAAGAGTTAACTGTATTGTCATTTTTTTCAAAGGAATAGAAAAGTTCTCTTCAACCTTGCTTTGAAGTATTAAAAATGAGTGGGAACTACTCACCATCAGTTTTGTTTTGATCCAAAATTCTAAGCTTCCTGTCTTTTTCAAATGCAGCTTGCTCACTGCTTATCTTAGTCTGTAGTCCTCTGTAAAGCACAACAGTACATTAAATATGCTGGTATCATTCATTCCAGTAAACACAAGAAACGATGCAAGAGAACTGGCAATATTCTCCAAACACAGATGGACAAAATAGAATCACTCTGCCAAACATTGGAGTACTCAGCAGAATAGATTGTGGGGTTTTGGTTGGGGGGTTTTTTGGGTTTTTTTGTTGTTTGTTTTTGTTTTTTTTTTTTTTTTTAAACAAGAGGAAATGCTGCTATGATATTTTACCAAAATGACATGCAGCTTTACTCTCTTCTGTGTCAGCAGATGATCAGTTTTCCTTTCTCCTCTCCCCCTCCTTTTGTTTACTCGTGCAGTTTGAACAAGCCCCTTTCCAGTAACAACTCAGTTTCAGTAAAACCACAATGGTTTATCATTCATTTAAGAGTGTTCTTAGTGTGAAGTGTTCTGACACCCCCAACAATTAAAATATGTCCTTGATTTTGTCCCTGACACGATATACAGGAAACTGCATGAGACACTGACTGCATATGAACATATGAACTGTGCAGTATAGACTTTTCAAGACAGTAATGAAAAATTTTCTGTCACTTTCAAGAAATACCTTGAGAACAACAGAGAAATATGCATGCAACATATTACCTGCATACTAAACATTTTGCAAATGCATAAAATTTCTGTCCTCAGATCACGGGGTACAAGAGAACCGCACAAATGCTGAATAAACCCCGGACCTTTGGGGGGGGAAATATTAAGTCCTTGGCCCAAATACTTAAAATTTCTCTTCAAAAAAGTTATTAGAACTTCAAATTTACATCTTGAAGACATTTTTATTTTCTGTAGTTACAAACACTGGCATTATGAAGATTCCAATTCATTTGCCACATCAAATGTATTAGTTGTCAGGAACCAGTGCCTTGAGCTGAAACATCTGCTTTGAATCATTTAAAATGAGAACTTCCTCAATAACCATCCATTCTCATGTTGCTTGTATGGTCCAAAATATACTGTAAGTGTCCAATAAACTGCTAAATGGGAGCATACGCTCTCAAAATCATTGTTGGAAGAAAGTTGAAGCTTAGTCCTGCACTCTGTACTCTTGCTTATCTCCTTCCCGTGAACACAGCTGAGGGACTGAACTACAAGTATTCACAACAGGCTGAACTGTTTAAAAAACAAAAAACAAAACAAAAAAAAGAACACCACCCCCCACCCCCCAAACCAAACCCAAAGCCACAAAACACCACAGACTATTGTTCTAGAAATCAGTGGTTTTGACTGGAATATTACACGCATCCCTGGTTTGATTAAAAAGCACTTCTTCAAAGTAACTAGATCTTACATAAAAGATCTGAATTATCAAAAGGTTTCCAGAAATATGTCAGAGCAACCCTAGTCCTCATTCTGGAATCCCTGTGATATTTCAGGAAAGAAAGGATTGCCGAACTCTAAAGTTAGAACACACAGTACATGCTAGATGATACTCACCAGGATTATAGGCCATGAAAGGCTATTACAAATTAGTGCGGGAAAAAAGAAACATCCCCTGGACAATTGGCCAAACTGGCCCAATAACACACGTCTGATAATTTGCAAGTTCAAGACAACTTAAAAATAACATTTGGCCGATCCTCCTCCTTGTAGATCCCCACAGAGCAGACACTCCCAAGCAAGTGGCACAGTATTTGTCAGGACAGAGCACCAAAGATTTTTGCAAAGCCCCATTTGGCCTTGGACTGACAAAAAAGACCCTTGAAATACAAGTCAAAGCTCTCCATACTACCTTGAAAGTTCTTGGCTACAGGGGCAGTCACACATTTTGGCTTCAGTACAATAATTGAAATAGTTCTTTCAATTTAATTTGGGAACAGTAGCCAGTTTAGTTGCCCCAGGGAACAGAGAAAGAGTGAATTACATTAACACAATGGGACTTCTCTGGACAATCAACATTTATTTCAAGCAGGCACTAACTCATGTTGGAAACCTGCTGAGTCAGGTAGTTTAACAAACATGCTGAAGGGCGAAGGTACAGCATCACCAGAAGGGAAAAAGAGCGGTTAAAGAAACTAATGTGTTTATTCTTTAAAAAGGCAGAATTAACTTCTTTTCCTGAGAGCAGATGGATTGAGACAGGTCAAGACAACTGGCTAACATATAAGGAAAAGACAAAAGAAAAATTTAAACCAAAACAAATATGCAAGCAACAGATAATTGTGTCCAGAAGAACAGAAATGGCCAATCTACCTGTTTGTCCCCAACTGTAAGAATTAATTTGTAAATTTTCATTTAACTAATCAATCTAAATCTTTTCACAGCATGCTGCTCTAGTAAATATGCTGGGTATTTTAGAGCCAGGTTCGGCTTTTCGGGGTCCGGCTCTTTGAGTAGTAAGGAAAGGGAGGCTTAAACAGAATAACCTGCAGAACACTTCTTTATCATTTTTGTTGAAAAGCTTCACGAATTACTGTGCACAGAAGAGTGCTACAATGAAAGCTAAGCATATTAAGCTCATTCCTCTCTCACAATTCTCTATTCTGTGCTCCACAATGAAACAGCACTCTACATTTTATTTGCCTCCCCCATTCCCTCCCCAATGCTCCTTTCTTTGTCACAAAACGTACTTACTTGCCATCTGTGCTCATATTTTCTTGTTTTTCTTCCTTGAAGCTTTGTGAGTTGTCTACAGAAACACTGCCAGGAACTGGAGCTGATGAAGCAGGATCATTTTTTTCAGTTTCCAGTGGTACCTCAGCAGAGCTGAAGGCTGCAGTAACCTCTCCTATCCTGAGCAAGGTATTTGTACTTTCACTGTCCTCTCTCTGTTGCACACTCATCTCTTCCCTTTCATCAATTTCTTCCAGGTTGTACTCTGAGCTCCTTACACCTACACTCACAGGAAGAAAAAACAAAACAAAACAAAACAACCCACAGCTCTCAATGCAGGGTGTAGATACAAAGGGACTGGTAAAGTCAGCCTAAGTAGTTTGAAGAAGGAAAAATCAGACTTCTTTTCATAATTCAAGTTAAAAAAAAAAAAAGACAACTCATTCAGAGTTTTAACTTCACAATATTTTCTGTTTCTTTCCAACTCTCTCTTTTTACACACAAGAATATGCTCATCACCATGCTACTGTCCATCTGTTTCTGCATCTGTAACTACTGTGTAACATTTTCCTTGTTTAACCCAAATACTGGATTAGGATAGATCAAAATATATTTAACAATAACATAATCCCAAATTTCATGGGGGCACACAGTTTATTTTACCCAGATTTCTTAGTACTTCCATTAGCTCCCCAATGAGTTTTAAAATACATGGGTTTTTTATATCAGAGTAGGTATGCTAGAGAACTAAAGAGCAAACTAAATCTCAATTTTGCCTGTGGTTTGAACAAGTTTGATCATCACTATCAAAAATTTCCCATGATTATCCTAAATGTATTAAATCATAGAAGTATATTGTGCAGTGCACTGTATACAGTAAAAACACACAAAAATCGGGTACATATAAAAGCATTAATCCATAAAAATAATTAAGTTTTCAGCTACAGCATTGTTAAATTAAAAGGTTTAGTTACTGGATTAGGACACATGTACATCAGTGTAACTAAAGTTAAACTAATACATCTAGCTATTTTGATTTCCAGGGGGATTAACCATCTCTAGCTTTACTTCCCTGCCAGCAATGTTCCTACACGACGATGATTCATATTTTTCAGATATTAGTAAGTAGACCACACAATTAACCTCTTGGCTTTGCAACTTGCATTCTATAACACAAAGAAGACAGTAACTCCATCTATATAGTGCAATACGGTGCCATGGAAGGCTACCGGCAACAACGGAGCCATACAAGGAGTGCACTCTGCCTGACCTGACCAGGGTATTCCTCTCAGCTTTGTATGCACCGATACCTTTTAGGTACAGGCCTTGCACCTGGGCAGTTAGGTTTCAGACTTTCCTAAGTTGTGTCGGTAAATTTCCAAGTGTAAACCAAGGCTAACAATGAAAACAAAATACTGGCTTAAAGCAAGCAATACTGGAAAGCAGCAGATCCCAGAGTATGAAAAATCTTAAGATTGACTTTTTTTGTACAGACTGGTATCCTACAATGCTTCCAGTACTTCTAGAGAAGTACACTGTTATAGAAACATAATAGAAGACTGTATATATTGGAGAAGATCTCAGTACAGAACAGAAACTTTGATTTTTCCAGTAGGGTCATTAGTTAAGAGTTCAGTAATACCAAAGTTACTCATTCACAGTTACAGAGCAACTACAAAAGCCGAACATTTTACTATTTAACTCTAGTTTTTGTATTGCACTCTTGTAATAATGCTTTGTAGTTACACATTAAGTAATGCGATCAACATGTGTCATAGCACTGAATGTAGAGGTGATTTAGATCCCCAGGGAAAGAGGAGCAAGACTGCGAAGTGCTGCAGGTGAGCTCCTTCCATGTGATTTAAGCACAGGTACATACAAATATGCCACGCTGGTATTAAAGGGACTCCTTAAGAATTTACCATTAGTAAGGGCCTTCTCTTCCTTTCCCCCCCACCAAATCCTTTCATCTCCATCTAGGGAAAAGTCATGCCAGCAGCCTCATACTTTGGGAGATGATTTTAGTGATAGCAGTACAATTTTATGTGTGCAAAGATAAATATACATGTCACAAGGCACAAACAAAGCATAACAGAATGTGGGCAAACATCAAACCTGCTGAGACTATTCCACAGCCCATAACCAGCCCTCAAGAACACTGTCTCCTTCACCAATGAGAACTATTATGCCATGGGCCTGAGCCATCACCAGCCACAGGAACAAACACTAAGGCCTTTCGTCTAAATACTCTGTGGAAACCTGAATTATACAACAAAGCACAGCCAGGACTTCTGACAAGACAAATGGAAGCATTCTGGAGTTGCTCTGGCTTTGTGCCCAGGCACTGCTGTCATCTCTATCACTTTTTCTCTGGAGAGAAGTATAACAAAGGCTGAGTTGTATCTATACTGATGGGATGGAAACTTAGCTTGGGTTGGTAGGAGGCATTCCTGACATTCCTGCTACGTGAAAAATCTGTCCTTTGCTGTGCTAGGAACACTTCCAAGCTTTGGAGTGGACTAACCTGACCTATGAATGTATAATACCAAACAAAAACAACCCTCACACTTTTTCCAAAGTGCTCTACTTCATTTGTCAGCATAATATCAGCCTTGCTTGGTGTTAATTTCAACTAGTGGTTTTTCATCTGTTACTGGATCTCATTCCAGACCCGGGCCACCGCTGCTGCAGCAGAATGAAGTCTGAATGCATTTGATATATAAACAACATTTAACAGCCATCCTTCACTTACATCATGCAGTTAACACCCCAGAGGAACAGTTCAGATTTTACGACTTGTTTCCAAACCCTCAGTTTAGAGTTTTTATATGCAGCACTTTGCTAGGAAGTACTTACAGCAATACTGGCTACGCACTGTTGCCTTATTGCTTATATACTCTATATGTTGGTCCATATATAATATAAATTGCGTTTTCATCTGTATATAACTTAGTTCCTGTGAACATTAGTCATTGAGTTTTAATTAGCCCTAAAAGAACATTATTAAAGCCTACAGGATGACATTGTGAAGACATACCTCATAATATGACTGACATACCAACTGCAAGTCTCCTTTGAGTTAGTAAGAATACCCTTTGCACAATAGAGAATAGGCTGACACTGCGCTGTGAGCCATTATGCTTGTAAGCACCAAAGCCAGAAAGCCTGACCCCATCATGCAAATCTGCCAGTGTTTTTCCTCTTGACTCTACAGGCCTTAAAAAGGGTCTTAAGACATACTGTAACCAAGAAAATTATATCAAGGGATTTGCTTCATGGGAAATTATTTAAAAATCTGTAATTTTTAAATTTTTTTTTTAAACACCATTTCATCCTCTTCCCTAGAAAAAAGACTGAGCATTAACTGAACTTCGGGAAGGGGAACAAAAATTGTAATTGAGAAAAAAAATTGTTGTTTATAATCCCAAATGTTCAAATTAATTCTCTGTCAATGTTTATTCCAGTAGATGTATGCCTTCAAACTACTTTTGTCAAGGTACAGGCTATATCTACACCATGGGAAAACTGTCATTTCACAACAGAAATGTTGCCTATTCCAAATCACATAGCATAGTTCCACTTAATGTATACACATCTATTAGCTATGCACTACTTAGACACCAAATTGAACATTTTTAATGGTTCATTATAGGGCAGAAGGTAATGCTATATTTGCAGCTTAACTTTTTTTGCTTATTTGCTAAAGTAGCAATGCATAACAGAACTACTTTGGGAATGCCAGTCATAGCTGAGCAAAACCTCACAATGCTTCCAGAAGCCTGACAATCAAAGCAGTATTAATCCAAATGGAAGGAACAACCAAGTTTATTGAAAGTTAAAATTATATCCAACTTAGCAATTAAAGAGATATTGAACTATTTTATCCATTTAAACTAATAGCCAAATATGCATAATTTTTGAACTAGAAATAGGACAAGTGTACTGCAGTTGATTTTGTTACAGGTGAATATTGGTTCTCACAACATGATGGGTTTTCCTCAAAGGAGCCTTTATACATAGGCCTCAGGACAGTTTCAGAGATGCCACCAGAGAGCAGCAGTATCCCATGAGAAAAAGAGAAAAAAAAAAAGGCAGGGAAGCTGTGCTGTGTGACTCGTCTCTACATTTAAAAAAAAACAACAAAAACCCCCCAAACAACAAACCCAACAAACCACATTACATTAAGTCTTCAGCAAAGGACACTGCATGAAGACATCGGCAGCAGAACTAGAGAATGAAGACTGTTACTAACTGCAAAGGTAAATCCCAGAGCTCAAACACAGGTTGTTCTAAGCCCAGTGAAGATGATTACATTTTTCTATTTCTTTCCATTACAGCTTAAATTAAAATATTAAATTACAAAACTCAAATGCCTCAAGCAGAGGTTCCTAAAATTATGGAAAAGCAAACAAGCCATTTCTATGAAGTTCAGGGTTGTTTATCTATGCAACACTTGGACATTACAGTGATGGGAAATGCAGAAATTCTAGCACGGATCTACAATCTTAAAATAGAAACAAGAAAAACCCAAGAAAACTAAACCCCCTGATTTTCAATCATAGCATAATAACTTTGCTCATCATCTTACACTCATCATATGTGGGTAAACATAGTTTTCAACACAGAAAATTAAGTACTAATAAACATCATTAAGAGCCACTCACTTAGAAGTGACTACCTTCTATCTGCTACAACTAGGAAAAGGAAAGGTTACAGCTTCGTTACGTCTTCAACTTCAGATTGCACAGTATAGGTTCATACTTCCCATTTATTAAGTTACATATTATTTCTATTAAAGGTCTTTTCTGACAATTTACATAAATTGCCCTAAACACAAACCAAGCCCAAATTTACTGATTTATTTTTTTCCCCTTTGCCAGAGACCTAGGATGGCAAGTGACACTTTCAACTCTTGTTGTACATTTGTGTTTTACCACTCCAACCAATTTCACTGGCATTCCAAATGAAACAGCTGGAAAACTACTTAAGAGTTGCTGTCAACTAGCACAGAAATTGAGTGCTTAGCCTCATATAATGCCAGTGGCACTCCACATACTTAGTGTTTATATATTTCATTCTTAGTGAAATACATTGAAGAGTGATTTTTCCAGACTGTACTGGCACTGATTATTCTAAAAGCTTTTACAAATTTTAGAAGACTCCTAGATGCTGTATCTTGTATCTGATCCCTACAGTCTGATGCTTACAAACAACAGTACTTAACAGTACAAACTGCATAAATTAAAAAAGTATTAAGTTCAGCAGCTAAAGAATTGTATATTAAATAGCTATACTTTTATATATCACATTTTTTTCCATAGGACGAACAAATGATTTCATTTAATGTATGAACAACTATTTATGCATACAGTTTATATTTACAACCTATGTTTTCACAGGCTGTTCAGATGCAAACAAAAAGGCAGGCACAGATTTGCTTCTACCCCTAGATTATGCAGGTCAAGTGCAGCAAAAGGCAGGGTTCTGAAATCAAGACCGGGCTTTAGCTTTTGAAAGGCTTGTTATGAGATATACAAAAATCAGAGAAGTACTGGCTTGTCCTTGTCTACAACTTGTGGGGGAGGAGGGAAAAGAGGAACAATGTTTAGTTTATTAAATGTAAAGCAGAGACCAATAGAAAATACATTGTGTATGTTTCTGTAGACAGAAAAGGTAAAACATCTTTATTTTAGAAAGTCATATTTGTACTTCAAAGGAAAAGTTAATTGATCTGAAGCATTAAAATTAGTTCTATACTTATGACACATCTATAGTATAGTAATTTATTACTATGAATTATCATAGCTTGCTATGAAGGAGATTTTATCAATGCATTTGGAAAAAGAACCAACCTGTTTCAGACTGCATTTCGGTGGCTCTTTCTTCCACTTCAGTAGGGACTGATTCTGTTGACTCTGTTACTGCAAAAAGTCAAGCAAGAAGCTTTTTTATTGCCTCACAATTTCTGCACCAACGAAAGTTCTAGATAAAATGTTAAATTGTGATCCTACAGACTGGTGAGTTCTTCAAGAAATGCACCTTCTCTTAAGCAACCAGTGCTCGTTGTCACATTTCCCAGATATTTTAAATCTCAACTCCTAGGTATTTTTGAACCAGAGACTTGAATTTTTGATCAAACAGAAGAATTACAGAAGAACAATACAAAACTTTCTCTAAAATTCTTCACAGTCCATTTCCTATTAAACCCTCTCTGATCCAGAGAAGCTAATCTTTTCTCCCCACCCCAGGCTGTCCATCTGACTAACGTAAACACAATTGCTATAGTTAACTGAACTATAATTATTTGGTATTTTCTGCTTTTTTCTGATCTGCATGCCCTAAAACCTGCCTGCTTTCTCACACTTGTGGGAAAATAATGGAAGATTGGCAAGAGGCATTGTAAACACGCTCAAGTGACTTACAGCTGTGGTATAGAAAAACACATGTATCATACTAATTGTTGTTTACCCTTGTGTGTTTGACAAGTAGAACATCAGTTTTCAGGTAAACATAGGCCTCTGATAGGGTGCCTCTAAGTCTATCAGACATGCTTGAGATTCCTGCCCTGCTGCGGGAAAGATCAAAGCACCGTGGTAAACTATGCCTGTGTGAATCCCTGATATACAGGTGAAAACAGCAGGTTCAGTGATCCTCCAGCACAGACTGAGCTCTGCGGTGCCTGTGTCCCTGCTTGGGTGCCTCTGCCCGGGTGCTGCTTCGGGGTTCCCCTGGTTGGCGAGGTAATGAAAATAAATTTACTCTTTACATTTCATCTGTGGCTTTGTGGTTGTTCCTGCATCCTGCCTGTGCCAGCTCACACACACTACATGAGCCAATCTCATTATGTAGTATTACTGCTCCTTAAAATCTGAAGATGTTTGGCACTCATATTTTTACTTAAAGTTCTTATCTCATAAGGTGGTATTTCTTTAACGTTTAGCCAAGTTGCCATACTTTCTGTTACCTCCGAATTAAACAGCATACAAAGATTACCAGTCTCACTACTGCTTTCACTTTGATCTTCTGGTGCTCTAGAGGGTGGTGAGGGTGCTTTGCGCTTCATCCTTCGTAGAGAGCTGTTCACGGAAGCAGCGTCACTGAGCGGCAGAGAACCCTTCCGTACTAATTCCAGAGGGGCCTAGGAAGGGAGACAGGGAGGAAGAAGATTATTAGCAATCAAAGAAAACCAGCAAAATAGCTCTAGTAATTATTCTCCAAAAGTATTTATAATGTACATTTGGGAAAGAGAGAATATAGAGAATATATACCTATCACCAAACATATTATATTTCTCCTCTTAATTCCTCTGGGGAGTAGTTTTCAAAAAAACAACAAAAAACCAATTTCTAGAGTAACTGAATATATTCACAGAGGTACAAGATACAGCAGTAAAAGAAAATCAGTTGTTACATATAGTATAAAAGAGAATTTGAATTCTTTTATGCCCAAAGGCTATTCTACAACCCTCAAGTAATTTTTTTCTAAAAGTAGCTAAAAATCGTTGTGGAAAGAAGCTTCAACTACACTGCACTGCAATGACATGACACAACGTTTCCTTCTCCATTCCTTCAACAGCAGTCCTAACTGGGCTGTATACATAATTATTAGGATTTTTTTTCCCTACTTGAAATACTTGAACTTTTATAGAAATTTTTTGAATGCCAGCTTTCAAAACTTATCTTGGAAAGTACAACTGTCTCATAATACTTACTGAAGTTAAATTGTAATAAGTTGTAAAAACAATAATTATAATACCTACTGATGTTGAAGTGTAATAATGTCCTCATCATTGTAGCAAAAGACAAAAAAAAAAATTTTACTTCACAAAAAATCAAAACCATTTAAAAAATGGACAAAAGCTACCTGCTGAAGACTTCATAGTTTTATGATATGGCAGTCCAATTGCATTTTAAATTGTTTTAAAAATACATTCTGTGTCTCAAAAAGACAGTGGTTGTAAATTTGCCTGCCATTCTTAACTGCAGCTTGCCTTATGCTGAAGAAACCTGGCATTTCTACAGCTATTAGAATGGTAACGTTCAGGATCCCAGCAATAAAGGAGTCTGTTTTGGTACTAGACACAGCTGCCTATTTCTGTAGTAATTTTGATCCAAATCACTTGTCTAGTCAACAATATAATAAAATCCAGCAGTGAGATTAATTTCTTGCTAGACGGATCCACACAGCAACTGGATGTGGGGTCATCTTCAGAGAACTTCCCCGTGCTTCAGTTAACCAGCCCACTTTACAAAGCAGAATATCGAGGAACAGAGATGGCATAAATACACCTACAAATTTTTGTTTCACTGACAAACCTTTCAAAAACATCACTGACAACAGAATTGTTGACTGTGTCAATATCCATGGAATAAGATGCTTATCATTTAGAAAGCTACCACTGAACAAATACACATCCTACAGTAAGGGGGATGTTAAAGACCAAAAGCTAGAGTATTTGGCTGTACACAATCAAAACTATAAAGAAAATTACTCACAAGAGAAGTGATACTGGCACAAGATGTCTGTGAAGCAGTGTTTAGCAGCTCCTGTTAGATCTCAATAGAATACCTGAATGAATGAACTAGGATGGTGAAAACCATCCTCTGAGCTACCCTGGACATACTCAGTCATCTGTTTTGTCCCACCTCGATGTCAGGTATGACAGATCCCTTAGATACTTTACTGCACTGTAAGGAACAACACTGTCCAAAATGTTCGCACAATTCTTCTACCACTTTAATGCCGAAGCAAGCAACTCAAACATTTTACAGCAAAGCAGGACTCACGGTTTTAAGGAGAAAAAACAAAGCACAAGGTGAGATGTTCTTTTAAGAACAGCAGAGGATATGGACATAGCACTCCACTCCTAATTAAAAATACTTGCATGCTTGAATAGTTTTTAAATAAGTCAGTTTCTAGATTAAAACGTCACACAACAAAAATCACTTTACGCTTTCATAGCTTCTTATTCACAGTTCCCAAATAGCTCTACACACACAAAAAAAAAGAATTAATAGTATTCAGCATCTAAATTTATTCAGGAGGGGATGTCAAATATAATATCTCCCCAAATTAGGCTTTTTTTATTGTTTAATCATTTTTCTCCTTGGTGTTGGGCAGCTCTATTTTTCTCCTCTCCAGGCTGCAGCCCCTCCATTCTTCACAAAGACACTGTTTCTCTGTTCAAAGGTCTGCATCCTCATTTGCTTCGCACAGGCTCCCTCAGCTGACTGGGCTGGCAGAGTTCTGGGCATACTCGCTGAACTAAACAGATGTCACCAGAGTTCCCTCCTGCACAGAAAGAGTACGTGTGTAGGGGGGAAATAATGTTCTCAGCCTAAGAGCACAAATTCTACTAGAAGATTTTTATAAGCCTTTCTACTGCCCTTTGCATCCAAAGAAACAAATGATTTGCAAAGAGAGATTTCGAGAAAGTACTAAATGTTCTAGTTAAGGTTCAAGTGTTGAACAGATTTTCTCAGGAATTATTCAACATATGAATATTAAGAGCTTTCAAATCCTAACAAAGGCTGTAATGTGAAAATAGTACTTTAAACAGATGGAAAAAATTAAAATAATGTTATTAAGATGTATCTGACAAAGTTTTGGAATATACATCTGGGTGTTCATGTGTCATACCAACTGCTAATGATAACCAGAGCTTTATCAGTTACACTTAAATTAAAATTCATGTTAGAATCACTAAAGTAATTAACCGTGCTTGTGCAGAAACACCAGTGAACTCTATCATAACTTCCAAAACCATATGCAAGAGTTCCACTTTTCACACTCCTCATCCTGGAACAAGCAAGAGTGGATATGAAGGTTTTTAGCCTCAAATGTGTACAGACAAATTTGGCACCAAATCCCACGCCACCCCAAGCAGACACTTGTAGAGGCCAGTGCTTCCCGAGTTCCAGGCTCTGTAAGCAGTGACAGACATGGTGCCTGGCCCTTTCTATCATTTCAAAAAACAGAAAGTAATTTTGCCACTGGAATGGAAGTGTGTGTGGGGGAGTATTTGGGAAAGAATGTAGTGGTGGAGCATTTCAGTGTGCTGGAAAGCATACCTCACACCAGGGTCACATTTTCACACCACCAGTACCTACCTCTTTTGCTCCATAGGTAACTACGTTTAACAGAAGATATACAGGCGACTGGGATATCACAGCACATTGCTAGCCATATTGCTAGTATTTCTTTCTTCCCTTTGTACAAGTATGCAGGCAAATGTATGTCCAAGGATTAACAGGGAAAAAAAAAAAAATGTATTTGCTCTTACAAGGATTAATGCACTGAATTTCTATCACATGACTTAAGCTTCCCAAAATACTTAAACTTAGCCAAAGTACTACAGAGGAAGTAATATACCTCTGACCTATTGGAAAGAAAGGACATACAGGATATATTTGGAGAAACTCAGCGGGTGTTATTCTGTCCAAACTCCCGGTACTACTATTCTCTCCTATGATTTATCTACACACTTGCTGGTACAGAAGTAAATACAATTAAGGGGACAAGGTTATGCATTTGGTATACTGAGAAGTGGATGCATGAAATGTTCCTCACCAATTCTGAATCATATCAGAATCATACCAAATGATCTTCATGCAAACTTCAGTAAGAGCAAACAGCTAGTCCTGAGCACTCTCTTCTCCCAGGTAACCCTGGCTCTATTCAGGACTTCCCTGATTTTCATAGTGCTCACTAGGTCATTACCCAACCTCTCCTCTAAAGGGCTGACCATCAAGACTCAGGCAACTGAGCCTCTGGTGTAATTTCTTAAGCATGGAACTCATCCCTCCCAGAAATTTTAAGTAAGCTGTTCTGTGGCAGTGGCTAATAAATCTTTTCAGAAATACTTTATGATAGTTTAGTTGCTTCCCACCCTTCCCCCATTCTCCCATCTTCTACTTCCCTTACTTTTCTAAGGGGTAGACTGGAGATTTAAATTTCTTTAGGAGTTAGGATTGTGTCAATAACAGCAAGCTATATTTCTACAGTTGAGAAGTTCTATCCATCATTTAAAACTGTAAATGTTTTGACTAAAAATCTCCACTTAATTTTTCCTACCCAAGCATAGTTTACGTACGCTCCTTTACAATAACTGAAAACAGTGTAAGGATACAAACATTCATAGGATAAAATGAAGATATCACAGTCTAGTTTTATAAATAAAGCATTAGGAAGAAAATCAGCAATGGCATTTTGGACATAATCAAATGCTTTTCTTTTAAAAGAAATTTTCTTTTAAAGAAGTCTTATTACTAGAAAATTGCATCCACTTATGAAAACTGAAGATACACATACTGCATTACACAACAGCACTTTGCAAAACCCCTTGAGAGTCCTCTCTACTTGCAAGTTTAAATAAACTAGTTCTAAACATACTTCTGGCAAGAGGCATCTTGCCCAAAATTAGAACTGACAAGTGAGGGATTTCAGTATTAAAGACTTATGTGCTCATTTCCAATCTGATTAAACATAGAAATTTGCTGGACAAATATTAACTATTTAAACTTACTAGTCATCTTCTGAGTCTCATATAGAATGAGTAAATCTTGCTACATAGTAATGTGTAAAAGCTACCCTTACATCCATTGTACTAATTTCTCCCCTAAAAATAGGAACTTATCTCCAAAAACTAATGCTTTAATCACTCTGAAATTGAGGCAGAAAAAATTCCAACCCTCAAAACAGAATTTAACTGCTTATATAAAGAGAAAGCAGTTTCTTTTTTAAAGGAAGAGGAGTGGAGAAGCTGTAGGAGGTAAACATTAAAACCCTTTTTCATACTGTGAGAAACTGGACTACAATACACTGTGAATTTGAAGAAAGACAACAGTGAGAGCTCTGTTCCCTTAAAGTTGGCTCATTTCACTGTTGTCTGATGTTACTACTTTGGCATGTTTCTATCGACACCAGGCAAACAGTTTATCCAGGCAAAACTGACATTTCACTTTGTCTTCCTTGTGGATGTTACAAAAGAGATTTGTCCATAATAAGGCACATGTAGAAGGTCACCCTGGTCCACAGAAGAAATAAAGTATGTATCCAGTCCGCCAAATAAACTGAAGTGCAGGCTTCAGAACTTAGGCATTCTTAAAAGCAACATGATTTGCAAGGAAATGCTTCTTGTAAGGCAAAAGCAGATAAAAAGTAATGCTTAAGAAAAAAATAAAGTATACCCTAAGTTCTGTAAATTAACTTAATGGGACACTGCAATAACAGCAAAACTCCCAGACATACTAAATAGCCCAGTAAACACACCAATCAGCCTGGTGAGCAACCCAAAAAACACTTTAAATCCTACCAGCAGGACACACATTTTCAACAGTGGGGAATATGAGAGACCAAATTCTTATACTGTTTACAATAAAATAATGGTGGTCTAGTGTGACCATTGTACTTGCCTCATTACTGAGAACTGTCTTGGATTAAACGAGTGTAAGTCGATCACTTTGGGTTGAGAAAACATTAATGCACATGATACAGATGAAAAAATGCTATTCAACCATCAAAACTGACTTTATTCTACAATGCTTTTACATTTAATTTCAAATTCCATATTTAGGATGTGAATCCTTGGAATAAAGACTGATTCTTACTACATATTTAAATAGTGCCCTATTTAATTTGTAAAGTTGCAATGCCTGTAAATGACATTTTTATTTAAATAACATTATTTTACAGTGTCCCTTGCCTAACAACTTATGTTTTTAAGGGAACTTTCCTTTATTTTACAGTTAAGTGAGACTGGAATTCTCAATAGCTAGAGATACCTTTTATTTTATTTTAGAGACTTCAGTGGAAGCTCTGAGAAACAAGCTTCCAAATCTTCCCCTTGCCAGCATTACTTAAGCAGTGCTTGACCTCACAGCAAAAACAAGTATTTGTTGGTTTCTGTTAGTGATGAAGCCCCATTATATTTTTTTCTGTTCTCCTAATTATGTGCATACAGTTTTGAAAAATCAAGAGTCTGATTCACCCATGTGAAATAGAAAAGTAAGTTGGAAGGGACCTTTGGAGATCATCTGGTCCAACCTTCTGTTGAACACAAGGTCTTGGATTAGGTTATTGCAGGAGTCTGTCAAGGTACATCTTGAATATTTCTGGTGAGGGAGCTTCTACCACTTTTCCTGAGTGACCTATTCCAATGTTCAGCTGTTCTCATGGCGATGAGTTTTCTTCTTGTACCTGAATGGAATTTCCTCTGAAGCAACTAGTGCCCACTGGTCCTCATCCTGTCACCATGCATCCTTGTGAAGAATATACCTCTACTTTCCCCGATAACACCTTCTAGGTATCAGAAGAATGTGATTAGATCCCATCTGAGCCTTCCTTTTGCTAGAACATTTACGTTCTCCAACCTTTAAACATCATGGTGGCCTTCCACTGGACTCTTGCCTTGTTTTTAATCTCTATCTTGAACTGCAGGAACCAAATCTACACATAATAGTACAGGTGTGGCCTAAAAAGTATTAAGTACACCAGATGCGAGGTGGATCACATAGCCAGACCCCAGCCTGTACTAGTGCTTGGGATTACTCCATTCCAGATAGAGAACTTCACACGCATCTTTTTTTAAAATCTCATGCAGTTCCAGCCTGTCATTGTCTCCCTGAATGGTGGCTCTTCTGGTGGACCTGCCTCTCTGCCCGGTTTGGTGTCAACTTCAAGTTTGTTGAGGGTGCATTCAATTCCATCATCTAGGTTGTTTATAAAGATGTTTAACAGTACTGGCCATACTACCAACTCCTCAGGAACTCCACCTGACAACCAGTCTGACTTTGAGCCATTAACCACCATCACCGGAGCTGTTTAGCCAGTTTTTGTCCTATCTTGTGGTTCATCTGTATAGTCCATACCTTACTTCTTCAACAACAAAAAAAAATGTTGTGGTAGACTGTGACAAATACCTTGCTAAAATAAAGGTAGATGACCTCATCCTTCATCCTTGGACTTCTGCTTGCTGCTAACTTACAAAAGCCTTTCTTGTTATTCTTGACATCTCCTGCCGCTTCGAGCTCCAGGCTTGCCTTTGCATTCCTAACTGCATCTCTGCATGTCCAAGAAGTATCTCTGTATTTCTTTTTGGGAATTGCTCTGTCCCCTTCCCATCCCTCACATGCTTATTTTTGCACTTGAGCTCTCTCAGTAGCACATTTAAATGAGACTGTCTATTTTTATGCCTACTCCTTTTCCCACTTAGGGGAATGGACCACTCTCATGCTGCCGGAAGGCTGTCTCTGGAAATATCTCAGCACTCTTTCAAGAAGCAGCTTTATCTTCCAAGGAAGTCTCTCATAGGATCCCTCTTAAGAGTTCCCTGATCAAGTTGAGCAATATGTACTATGCAGTCCAAATTCATTCATTAGATGATATTTATTGGAAAGTAGATACTAAAAAGACAAAATATTTTACATGAATTAATAAAATTCAAAGCAAAGAGCAAATATTTGCCCACATTTAAGTCCCAAGCTCTGTATTATCTGATAAATCACTGTGCAATCAAATCAGAATAAAACAGAAGTCATCTTAAAACACACATGCCAAAGGCTTCTAAGTTCTAAGGGAGCTGCACAAAGTAGTACAAAATAGAAAATACACACAAAAATATAACTTAATCTAGACTTCTGTCCTTTCTTTGTGAGCTGTTCAACTTCAGTCAAATCACTTTAGAAGAATAAGAAATGTCAGCACAAAATAATAAATCTAAGCAATTTTGTTGAGTGACAGATCCTAGCCCAGCAGTCATACATTACTGTTAGACATAACAGGATATTAATCATTTAAAGCATGTTGACATTAATAAATTATTTTCAAAAAATTTGAATTCAATTAAAAGACAAACAAGAGGAGGTAAAAAAAGATCATGATTTTTTTTCTCCCCCAAGGTTCCTTTTATTAAAATACAGAAAGAAACCTTTGTCTTCTTCAAATGATAAAGCTTTTCAGCAGGACACAATACACAAATTCAGAACTTCTGTTAAACAGTGCTCTCTTGTGGTTCTGTGCATCAATGAAAGAGTAAATCATTCCATAAAGATAAAGGAAGTCACACTTTGAAATTTCTTATCTCTGGGTCTAACAAAAAATTAATCCCTCAGACTTGTATTTCATTTAGTTCTGCATTTTATTTTTCTAGCATGCCAATAACCTCATTTATTAAAGACCACCTTCAGATACTGCATTCAAAGCAAAGTATAAAATGAAAAAAAAAATTTTAGCCTTGATCTTTAGTTAGAATTCACAGTTGACAATTTGTGCAATACCAGGATAATACTTAATGCATCAATTCTCCCAAATTCTACTGGCAGAATTTCTGCATTGCATGGGATATATAGGTTACTTAAAAATGTAGCCTACATGTCTAGGCTTCAATTAAATACATCCCTATTCAATTAAAATAAAAATGTTACTTTAACTTGCTGGGAGCACAAGAACGTTAAGACTACTCCCCAAGATTTCTACCTTTTTCTAGTAAGGTAATGTAAAGAACAAACTACTCGTTATCACATGTAACTAAAACATTAAGAAATTACTGGAAATGTCAAAACATCAATTACTAGATATGACAAAGTGAGACAATATTCTCACATTTAAATATATAAACTATTCATCCAAAAGAAGAAAAAGGTGCTTACAATAACAACTTATATAAAAGAAGTTAGTTTTACCTTTTCAAAATACAGCAGCTACTTTGGATATGGGATATGAAGTTTAAAAGGAACACATCTTTCAATTTCTGTAGTTATTTTCAAACTAAGATTTTTAAAAGCAAGTACTACACTTTTATTTCCCATTTGTTTCAAGCCTCAGCAGATATTAACAGGGTTAATCAGGATTATTATGTCTAAGCGTCTTAAGAGAAGTGAAGCAAATGTAACTAACCTGTTCATTCCTATCAAAGCTGTTAGATTTCACAATATCAGATGCCGGTCTGACCTGGGCTTGTGCAAGTTCCTGGGGAGCGCTCTGAGAATTTGGCATAGGCGGTAAAGGAGCTCTCCGTTTCTTCGGCATTTCAGATGGCAGAGTGTTTGAATCATACTGCTTGCTAACAGTGTTAGATCTCGTGATAAATGTTGGCCTTGGCTTGCTCATCAATGGAGTTGCTGGGGCACTGGCAGCCTTGGGGTGCAGGGGGAAGAAAAAAAATCCAAGTTACTTATACTTTCTGGAAAACCATCAACAGTATTGATTGCTCAATACGAATGTTTCTAGAAGTTTTGCCTATACAAAGTTACACCTTACTTGTTCTTTTTTCTTCTTGCTTCGTTGAAAAAAGCTGAAAAATCCTTTGTTTTCTTTCTCCTTCAGAACATCTAAGTTTTCAGATTGGTAGGAGTCTAAAATAGAAAATAATAGTTCTAGATGTTATTTATTGCACAGATTATTTCTCCTGCATTCTTACAATTTCACTGTCTGTCATAAGCCTCCTGGAAGGATATACAAAACACAAGTCACCTATAATAGTTTTTCTAAACACTGCAAAATGAACAGGTTTCCTACCATCTGTGTTCTTCCTGTCTTTCTCAGAACTAGGAATAGATGAGTTTCAGCTGCTGCTAATGCCCCTAACACCTAATCCAGCCCATCCCACTTGTCATATGTTACGGTTCATATCACAATGGCTGTAAAAGGGAAAAAGAACATCAACCTCTCCAGCTCTCAGTTCCTAACAGTTTAAATTCATGGCAAAGTGTGAGGTGGGACAGGTCAGGCACAAGCCTGCCCATGGTGTGGCTATGGAGAAAGATCACCGAAACACCTGAGAGGTGCTGTGCACATAACTGCATGGCAGTCATAGTAAAGATAGTCAAGTCCATTCTGGTATCTTGCAGAATTTATCCTCCTTACATTGTCTTATTCGTGCAGATGATTTGTAAATCTAAAGGTTGTCTCTTTTTAATTTTTACTAGATTTAACCTTCTTAAAGAAATCCTACTGAATGCAAATGCAATGAGCAACAGAAATCATCAGCAAGGCCACTATGGGTTCTTGGTACAACTATCAATATAAACATGACTGTAAATGTAATCAATCGATCTAGGATAAAACTATACAGAAATACTTCATATATAGCTGGGTATATCCACTTCTGTATTATCTTTTAAAATATGCATTTATGATAGGACAGAGATAATTACTCATGTCACAGTTAAGCAGATGTTACAATAGGAGCGGATGGTAATGTCATGTAAGTGCTACAGTTTCACCACCTGTTTCAGTAAATCGTACCTTGCAAAGACGGTAAATTTAAATCAACTGGTGATGTGGCTACAGAAAGACAAAAAGAAAGACGGAAAATGTGAATCTGAATCAAGGATGCAGTTATAAGTTACAAACACAGAAAGCCAGGCTGAATCTTCAACATTAGGAAAAAGTAACTGGGTACTTTCCCAAAGTAAAAGGATGTGTATCGTTACCACCTAATGCTATAAGCCATTTAAGAACTTGAGCCTGAAGACATGCAACACAGACTGGAATCTTGTAAATAAGGAGAGACACTCCACTTACATTTCTGAAGGAAAAAGGAAAATAGGTATATAGAATAGTCTGCTCGCTAAGTTTTGGATTGTCAGGCAGTCCAAACTTGGAAAATAAAGAGGATTGTAAAATTAAAATATCATCTGAATAAAATAAAATCTGAATTTAAATTCTACTAAGTAAAAGGTACACCTCGCCATTTACTTTCATGAAGAAAGCTGAAAATTCAGAGCTTTGAAGCTGTCTGCAAAACTGAAATGCTGAACTACTTTGTCTTGAGGGAGCTGAAGTATACCTACATTTCCTAGCTGGACACTGCCACGTAGAAAGCATATATACCCTCACATTGTCTCCTAAGGATTTTTGGCTATTGACTCAAATGAAGCACATGTCATACTGTGCAGAAGGCAGCTCTGCCAGTCTGTAGATGAAAGCAGTAGCCAGACGACAAACAAGACAATGCACTAAGGGCATATGTAGTCCAAGTAACATGTTTAGGCAAGTTAAAATATGTTTTCCAGTGGGGAAGAGAAAGATTCTTCATTTTTGTTTTGTTCATGGGAAAAGGACATATTTTCCAAATCTGTCATTCTCCTGTTGTTCAAGATAACTGGCCTTTGGGAAGTAATTGAGAGAACTTTTGAAACGGTAACCACCAAACGATAAGGTTACTGTATTTAGGTAGAAGGGGGGAAAGGACACAAACAAACAAAAAAAAACCCCAAAACAACAAAAACCCCCAAGTTTTAGAGCAGAAGGAAAGAAAAACAAGCAAATAGAACAGTGGTCAAGACCAAGAGTGAGCCCATATTACTGCATTCTATACTGAGGTAAGAATTTCCTGTGAGAAGTGTCTGAAAAAGAACAAATCACACTGTATAGAATTTTTAATCACAGTACAATAAACTCTTCATGAAAAAGATAAGCTTACAGCTAAAGGTGAAACCAGACATACGAAATATATACAAATATAAGTTAATTCATTGTGCCCCTGTTGGACCACAATTAAAAAGAGAATTATTATTCCTTCACAATCTATAAAATTAGCAAACAGCACTTAGAAATATACATAAACACCATCAGAACATTCTAAAACTTTTAAAATTTTAAATAATTTTTAAACAAAACTAAATTTCTCTAATGTTTGTTCTTTTCAGCTCCTCTTGATTCTATGTCTTTTTTATGAGCTAAGGGAAAGTTGATCTTTTTGGGGAAAGGCTGGGGGAAAGTAAGGAAGGGATTGCTTTTAAGTGATCGTTTGCACTTAGCCACCTTTGCTGGTACCTAACACTTTCTTAGAGAATGAAACCTTTATAAAGCACTTCTCAAACATAAGTACAGGTAAACTTGTCCCAGTTTCAATTTTGTGGAAGACTAATGACATATATACTAAATGGCTAGAAATTAATTTCTTCGTAAGTAAAAAAAACCTCAACAAACTTCAACATTATTGAAATACTAAGCAATTATCTTTTCTATAACTGCAATGTACAAAAGTTATCTTACCTCGACTGATATCCATGGCATATAATTCTCTTAGTCCAAGGTCATTAAGAGATTTTGTCACATCAAGGGGTTCTTGAGACTGGTAATTCTTCAACAGCAGAGTGTGTGAAGGATCAAACTCACATTTACTACAGATAATTGGTATGAGTTCTTGAAGGGGTGAATGCGGACTAACTCTTACTACCGTCTTCTGTGTCTTCTTGTAGTTTATCACTACCCTTACTGTTTGCTAAAGAGAAGAAAATTCCAATAAATACCAGCACAAATTCTGAAAGAAGTGGGATTTTTATAACAGCCTTACAGTAATGAAAGGAATTCCACTTATGGCCAACTTCACCAATGTTATAGATTCAGAAACATTACGAGAGAAACTAAGAACTATTTTGTGATTCCCTTCTACACAAGAAAAGGACACATGAAACAGTCTGCTCCTCCTTTAGCATCTGTCATTTGCCTGTCTGGCAGAGTACACTGAGCTTGGAGTGAGATGCCCTACTAGGTTAGGTTACATTAGGTAGCTGTAGAAGTCAGCCAAAGAGCCACGAGTGCACGCATGTGTGCGCAGACGTAGAACGAAGGTAAAAGGGCAGCAGGAGAGATCCCCTGGCCTCGTGCAAGTGCTTTAGATAAATTAAAAAAACAGTATTCTTCTATACAGCAGGACAAAGGGAGAAGGAAAGATTTAGGCAACACCTAGAAGTTGCTTTAGTACTTCTAAAAGCTCCTGCCTTCTTAAGAAGGAAAAAAAGCCTAGTAACAACAAAAAAGTACAGTATGTATTAAAGGAAAATGAACATACAATCAGAAGGGCATATATATCACAGCATGACAGATGGCACAAGTTGTTGATTTTCAGTTTGTGGAAGGCTGTATTCTGCCACACTTCATCTGCAGAATTTGTCAAAAGGACAATAAGGCGTGGGATTTCAGATAATATTGTAATGTTTCCTTCTTTCGGCAGCAAAGACGTTTGCTGCAACAAACTGAGATATATTTTACCTAAGAGGAGGTTATCAAGAACATGGAGCCAAGCATTTCACGGGGGTACATGGTGAGAGGATGAGACACAACAGGAAAAGCTGAAACAAGAGGCTCAGCTACCAGCTTAACTTGTTGCATACAATAGTGATTCTAATTTCTCAATACACTTTAATTTTAGTTCTCACCTCTGGTATAACCGGAGCAGGTTTCTTCTTATCCATTTGTTTTGGCTTTACAATCACCTTTTCCACTTCAAGCATTCCCACTGGTGTGTTGGGTTTAAATTTAATCAGACTGTTTTCTGCTGATACCAACTCTATGGTATAACTTGATGGATTTAAGTGGTACTGTGCACAGAGAAAGATCAGCAAGTCCATCATGGGCTTCCTGTAAAAGACAAATGGAACTGTCACAACAGATGACAATTAAGCAGGCCATAACAAAACGTGGTGCTAAACATTTAACCCAAGTCATCCTTTCCCTTCCATGACTAAATAATTACTGCCAGGCACCAACTTTAAACATCTTCAACATCAAAAAGAAAAAAGGCAAGCCAAATCCCAAAAAGCACCACTAAAAAGAAAATGAAACCAGCTCACACAAAAGTATGCCAAGTGCTTGAGCAAAGGGGGAAATTTTTGCTTGTGTGAAGTGATGCTTTTCCCGAGGTCAGCAGGGACATGTGAATTAGCCACCTCATTTGACATTTAATGGGAACTGTAGCAGCGGTGATAAACGGTATTCATTAAAAACAGCAAAAGCTGTTCCTTCCAAAGCTTGAAATTTTTATATCCATTCTGAGGTTACAAGGGACTTTATTTTCAGAAATTCTGAGCATGAGCCATTTGGAGGAAGCAGAAGAAATGAAGTTTGAGGATGTCACCTTTTAAGGAGGTCTTACATTAGGGATCCCAAAATGAGTACCAGATATTTAATACAGACAGAGGGAAAGAAGCTAAATGACAATATAGTAGTTGAATGCAATTTCTTGAGAAGCTCTGTGTGATGCAACAGATGTCCTTTTCACAATGAAGTATGAACTGAATTTTTCGTATGTAGTCACTAACTGTATGTCCTTGTTCTCTCAGTGCTCAGTGAAGAACATGCAGAACAGTGTATTAAGATAGGCTGATAATTCCCAGTTGCTACTGGAATAAATTTATTAAAGCCGTACTTTAAACAGAAGTGTCATAGAAGTTTAAATAGGCCAAAGGTAAGAAGCGTACCCTAACCTTGCATGTTACAGCCACTGAATAAGGTTATAGTACTATCAGGTCACTGGAACTGGTCATTCCTCATTTAGAGTTGGGTAATCATCTGTAAGGAGCATTTCATTTTGACGCCTTCTGCATGTCTCAGTTACAGCTACAAACAGAGAAATCTATCACCTGCTCTCTCATAAGCATATTATGAAAATAATTCAAAAGCCTGTGAAGCAATCAAATGCTATGTTGAAAAGTACACTGAAGTGTCTAGCAGAAAATTAATATAGGGTTTGGCTGGTATGGCTTTATCAGAAATCTTAAATTCTAGATGTAATCTCATAACAGATGCAGGTATTCTGGTAGCATAGCCAAATGTGGAAACAGATAGCTTCTACAAAAAGCCATCAAGCTAAGCAGAATTCTAGATAATATAAAGATTGTGAATAAATTTATTAAGTAGGAAGTTAAACCAGACTTTTCATGTGATGTGGTTCTTTAAAAAGAATTAAGAATGACTCAATCTTAGAAATTACTGTGAACACTGTTCCCCCCCCTTTAATTAACCCTAGAATATCATGCCTGTTTTCACTTGGTCTTAAAGAAAAAGTGTTCCTTAAGCAAACTGCCTTCTGATCTCTAGAAGCAGGGCTGGATGCCCTGGTGCACATGCTGCACTTCTAGAAGATGGAAACAGTTTTAAAGCTGACAGATATAGTTACTGAAGACCTGTTACTTTGGGTTTTTTCCCCCCAGAGAAAAAATTTCTGCCTGCTTAAATGGCAGAATACTTGCCCTCAGGAGACAAAGGCAGGAGGAACAATAAAACCAAAAAACATGGAGAAATGATGCTCCAAGGTGTCAAAAAGCAGCTATCAGGTAGTCTGAAGAGGTATAGAAGAATGTAATATACTCCTGTGCCTTCATCTAGATGATATATATCATCCTGAGGGATTCCATGAGAAATGCACTGAGCACTGCAGAAAAATAACTATTCCTCCCCTTTCACATAGCTAAACCAGAGAGTTTATTTCAATTCTTCTCTCGCATATATTACAGCCTGCACCGATTAGAAGAAAGAAGAAGAAACTACTCTATTTCTCGTACTTCTAACCCATAATAGAACAAGTACATCCATCTCGCCCTAATAAGAAAAGAGCTGCAAATGCAAATCATGTCATTCCCCCATTTCACTGGGGGCAGGGCAGGAGGGAGGAGGAGGGAGCCAGAGGAGACAGCAGACACTACTTCTGTAGTCAACCTTTCTGGTTATCAGCCTAGCCAATAAGTTACCCATTACTTTTTTTTTCCTGGTGCATTTTTATACACTGACTAGCTTTAAAAGCTACGCTTCCTCTGGCCTTCAGTTATTGGAGAATGGTGAGAACAATGAGAATTCACAAGCAAAGATCACAGAAAGCTGTCCTGTGGAAATGCACCATGGTGACAGGGGCAAGCCCTCACATTAACCAGAGTCACAAGAAGTGACAGAATGGAAAGTAAGGAACATAGCTGCTCACAAACAACAGAGAGGTACATGCAAATTAGTACATGAAAAACAGTAATTCAGTGCGAATTTGCTTTCCATTGGTACTTCCAGAAATGCCCTGCTTGACTGGAGGATGCTAGACTTTAAGTCCCCCCTCTACTGGAGGCCAAGACACCTTCAACAACTACTTTCAACAGACATTCCTACAGCGATACAAAAAGCAATCGTTTTTTGTAATCACATCCTCCAAAACTTGTAAAACTATTTTTTGCTAAAGCCTTCAAGGATTGCAGGTAGAGGAATGCATATAACACAATAAATTTAACAGCTGCCATAATTAATACTTAGTAAAAGTCCAAGAAGTAGCCATCAGCTCTCTTGGAGTGCATCATCTGCCTGTCCTCCTTTACCTAATTTCAGTAAAATCTTTACCTGAAACATCTTTAACTTCATTACATGACTTAGTTTTCCAGAAATCTCAGACCATAAATTTATTTACATATTCCTGCACCCCTTCATCTCTTACCTATTTTCCCCTGGTTATACCTACCTGACTAAATAACAATAAAAAGTGGGGAATAGCAGCCTCTCATTACATCACATCACTGATAGTTAAAAAATTAACCTTCACCTAGAACTAATCAAACCATGTTATGTTTGTAAC